AACCCGCAGGAAGGACCCTCGAAGGGTCAGGCGAGCTTGAACGCACAGTGAGTGGACGTTTGTTTTATAAATGAATTTTATGCAGTAAAAGTTTTATTAATTGATCATGAATGAATAATTTATGGTTTTTGCTTTCCATGCATACAGTTTGAATTCAAATGTTTTTATAAAATTTTGTTTATGATTAAATGTGAATGGCTGGGAAATTAGAAAAGAAAATGGTAATAGGATTTAAGGATTGAGTGAGAAACGGCAATATAATTTTCCATGAAAGGTTTTTAAACTACTACAAGTACCCAAAATGTTGCCTTCGAATAAACTGTTGCCTTCGGATATAATGATGTCCACGGACATCCTAGTTGCCTTCGGTTGAGTCAAGGTGCATTTGACAATTGCCTCATGAGTCCTAGGGATACTTGGACTGTGAAGATCGAGGAATGCGGCTCAGGTTGACCAAGTGTCTCCTGAGTTTTGCCAAGAATATGGCTCGGGTTAACTTTGTGTTTCCGAGTTTTACGAGAAGATATCGCTTATGGCGGCTCGGGGTAACTTTGTGTTTCCGAGTTTTACGAGAAGATATCGCTTATGTGACACTTGAAATTGACGGTATAATCTGGGAAATAAATAGAAAAATCATGGAATTGATGGATTTATTAAGGGTACACCTAGGTGGAAAGGAATTATTATTTTTCAACACTTTTAAATGGTTTTGATGAATTGATTGAATGTATGAACGGTTATATGAATATAAATATGCATGCTTGATTTTTGTACGAATATAGAACATGGATTAAATGAATTTTCAAATGGTTTTAACAATGGGGTTAGTATGCTGATATTATATTTTGCAAAATTTTCTTTTGTCCACTCACGCTTTTAATGTTTTGCGCCCCAGGCAGTAATTGAGTATTGGGGCACCACCAGAGGGCATTCATCACCCACCAGTCATCCACTTCCATTATGTAGGATATCCTACTGTAACCGTACTATTTTTGTAAACTAAATTAATTAGTAGGCTCTTATATTGCCCTAGGATTTCTGTAAGGCTTGAGGCCACACAGATTTGTTGTTGGATCATATGTGCACTAACATTGTGCATGCTGAACGCTTGTGGATATAAGAATTGCATTTTGTAAAGGTGTAAATTATTGGGAAACGAAGCAATTTATAAGGGAGACTGCCAATTTTTCAGCATAAGTCAAACCTTAAAATAATTTTTAAGTTTTAGTTTAAAAGGGCAATTTGGTCAAGTGTGCCCGGTACCTGACAGGTGTTGGATGTGCACAGAGTTCGACGTAGATTCCGAAATAGAATTTGGGTCTGGTCCTGTCACCAGACCAAAGGGAATAAATTTCTATTGTACGTGTCCTTTGTCTAACAACAGAAACAGAAGGCAATAAGACTTAGTGAGTGGCAATCTAAATAGTGTAGGTCCGGATTATGATAACCTAAATGTATTGGATGTCTGCAACTTCAAAATTTGGATAAAAATTATTATGATAACCAACAAAAAGGAAAACCAACTTAAAGATGTTCTAGCAAATTTCAATCTTAATAGAGTACAACATGTGTGCAAAAATAACGTATATAGCAATTAACAAAATATTAGTAATTCATCTTAAGATTGTTGGAAATATAAGTGCTAAATTGCTATAAAATAAACAAATAAATACTGCAAACAAAATAGATTTTTGCAAAACAATAATTGAATTATTAGAAGAACCTTAATTGAGTCGAGGCAAGTGTAGGACATTATGACCTTAGGACAAATTACGCCTCACACTAGTGCTTATGGTTCACTAGTCTAGGATCACAAGGAACTTTGAACCAAATTATGCAAAAAATCTCTTTGAAAGAATAAAAACTCTAATCCTCTCTATATATGGAAGTCTGTATGTATGAGAAATTTTTTAGAAAAACCATATCTTTTAAAAATTCATCTAGTAACATCAACTTTAGTGAGAAACATAAATAAACAAAAGTGAACATCGCATAAAACAGAAATTCTAAGCAATGATCATTATCATTCATGATATACTATAGCCTATGTGATAGTGTGAGATATTGTAGTATCTTATAGCTTACTTTACCAGCTACTTAATTTTGTCTTCTCTTAGAAGTTAATTACCAATTCTTAAATTTTGTTGCTTTCCATTGTCTTATTACTAATGCCAGCGGTGAGAGTTTCTTTCTTGGTAACTACTTTTATCCCATAACAATCATTTCTCTGTTAGAACTTAGCAGTCTTTGTTTATTAGCATTGAAGCTTTACTTCTTCTTCAAAAGTAAGAAATGCATCAGCAGTGATGCATGCTCTCCACGTCTTGCATACACATGAGAGGGGGACGGAAATATTGCTGCTCATTTCGAATCTTCTAATCCGCAAACCAAACGAGTTCTTGATACCAACATAGTTAGATTCTTTCTACTTGGGCTAAACACAATTCTTACAGTTTCAAAAAGTCCTTACTAAACGAGTAGGAGGACAAAAGGTCTAGAGATTGAGTCTTTACCAGCAAAATGTGAGGTTTTCATTCTTGTTGCAAAAGGCTCCCTCCAGTGTCCTTCCTACCATACACTGAAGGTGTGTCCAATATCAATTTTATCAATTCATAGCAGTTTTTCTTTTTCTGGTGTGTTCAAAAGTGCTGTACTTGAAATGCCAGTTCAAACATGAGGAGTTTATTTGTTAGCATATATGTTTTGCATTGTGGGGTATTTGAGTGAAATCTGTATGGGAAAATTAGAAAAACAAAATAAAATACATCACAAGTTAGGCAAACAATATATATGACTCATCATCTACTTGCCACATCAAATGAGCAAATGAAAACCTTTTTCGTCCATGTAAATCAAGAAAGCCCCTTTGTTTCTAAATATTACCCACATTTTTAAGACATGGCCTATTAGCTATATATTAGCACTATATATGCGCAATTCCTTATGTAGAACTATCACGTTTTCATTTATTTATTTGTTCTTTGTATGTGTTCAATTATTTGCAGGTTATTTACATATGAATGGAACCATCTTTTCTCACCTCAATTTTACTTTCTTTTTTTGGACGAAGTGACCTCATTTTACAGTAATATTTGACACAGAAAAACTACAATGCATGACTTCGAACAATTCATCGGCATCAAGTTTTTCTTGAATAGTTGTGTTGATGTCTAAAATTGGACATAACTTAGATAGATGTGAAGTGGTAGATGATGTGTGAAGGTAAGAGCCTTCATCAGGTGTGTGTACCTTCGGCAGACAATGTCATCGGTGGGTTCATGTATGCCTTTGGCAAGTAATGACATATGACAGAAGGAAAGTAAGTAAACATACAGAAGACAGATATACATGCTTCACCCTATTGAATGAGCTACATCCATGGAGAAGAATATTCTAATTATAAGTGGTTTACAGTATACATAGGCTTGGACCCAAAGAGAATGGAAGAAGGGAGAAGCCTTTTATAAGTGGAGAGTGATCTCCTTTTTTAGGTAATGGGGAGTCTTCACTTCTTGTATTCCAATGTGAGACTCTTGACATGGCCTCTAGTTGTGACTTGTGGCAAGACTTCTTTGGCTAAGGCGATGACCTCTCAAGGCATGGCACGTGGCTCATCTTGCTTAGCTAGTTGCTCAGTTAGTCATGGTATCCAACAAGTCGTCCTTGTTTGGAGACTCTTTCCATCTAAATCTGCCCTTAGAGAATTTTAATGGTACTCATAATCAATGAAACAGTAACATATTTATTGCATGACTCATCATCTCTTCATTTAGTTGCCAGATTAATCAATTTTATTGCATGACTTCCCTCATCTACTTGTCATTGTAAACATTTAGTTGTGACCAAAAAAATAGATAGCACGATGTTCAAGAAAATATATTTCAAATTCAAGTGATTTTTTGTAAAAATGATATATGTAACACATAGCATAAGATTAAATTGGTGAAAAGGAATTCATCAACATCTAGAAATCCATGAACTCAAAGCATCAAAACAAAAGTGTAATCATGTTTGAAACTCTTAGCTGTTGATCTCAGCATTGAAAATAGCAATAGGTATGTGTTCATTACAAATAGACAAAAAGGCTTAATTCATGCAGTGGGTGACATGTTCCCAAACTCTAAGCATAGCCACTGCCTCAAATATCTACATGCCAATTTTATACTTGCTCTGAAACAAAATATGGAGGCTGATGCAAGATGTAAAACTACACCTTGGTTTCAAGCAGAGGTGAAAAAGCTCCAAGATTTGTCAGGACCAACTTTTGATTGGTTGGCAAGGCTTGATCCAATTCAGTGGTGTAGATCTCACTTAAAAACACACTCAAAGTGTGACATTCTCTTGAATAACATGTGTGAGGCATTCAACAAATTTATAATAATGCTTGAGAGCATCAGGTATTACATCATGTTGTTAATGGCAAGTAGAAGAGAAGCTATGGACAAATGGTCTCATGATGTGGGGCTAAAATTTTTTGCAACTCTTAAGAAGCCAAAGAAAAATAAGGTAAGGTCAGCCGCTGAACCACCTACAAGTTCTAATGCTAAAGCTAAACACTTAAAAATTTATAATTTGGAAACCAAGTGTTCCATATGTAATCAAGCATACCATAATAAGAGGAAATGTCCAAGGACAAATGAAGCAGGGAGTAGAAGCCATGTATATTCAACGCATCTGATTTTAAAAGTTCTGTACGTTTGACATTTTGATATGGATTCATATATGATGTTTGTTAGTCAAGTGTCATCACAAAGGCAAAAGAATAGAGCACCTCAAGGCAACACATCAATTCAAAGAGTTACAAGACAATCAAGGCAGAAACAAGCATCATCTTCTACACAATAAAGGCAAAAAAAAAACTAGTAAGTTGGGTATTAGTTATTTAAGTAGCATTATGGAACTCTTCATTTGTTTATTTCAGTAAATGCTCATGTTTATCTAACTCCGCCACAATATCAAAGGCTAAAAAAAAGACCAATCATCCCAAGCATCTTCCAAGCCTAACCAAGCTCATCAACCATCTCACCAACCAGCTCAATCATCTCAAGCTTCTCAGTTTGAACAACCATCTCAAGTTTCTCAATTTGAACAACCTCAAGCATCTTAGGCCCCACAAGCTTCTGAACAAAGGAAAATTAGGTTTACATCTCCAGCTAATAGGAAAGCATTCTTGGAAAAGTTTCAGCCATGGAGATCTTGAAAAATCTTTGCCCTGGTTTGGTTTATCACATGTGTTTTGGATATGTACTTGCCTTGTGACCTAGGAATTGGATATGTGCAAATTGTGGCTGTCACAAGGAAATTAGGAGAGACCTAGGAATCGGATATGTTGTAGTCAACATCCATTGAAACAAGTTTTATGAAGATCTTCACCTCATCAGAGCACTAGAGCATGCTAATCCAAGGCCAAGAAGTTGACCTACGAAAATGAACAAAAACAGAATTTATAACCAATAATGCATTTTTAGCTCATTTTCATTTTAACCAAGGTAAAATCTATGAAACACAAAAAGGAAGTAAAATGCTCTAAAATGTCAAGAACTAACTCAAAATATTGGGTGACACTACTACATTTTAGTCTTTGCGCGACGAAAGGATATTCGTCGCGCAAAAATGATTTTAGTCGCACATCATTATGCGCGACAGAAGTTTCGTCGCGCACAGTCCGTCGCGCAAAGTTCGTGAAGAAAGGATTTGCGCGACGAACAAATGTCATTCGTCGCGCAGTTTGCGCTACGTATAACAACTTCGTTTCAAAAAAACATTTGGGGACGACCTCATTGTCCGTCGCACAAATATTTGCGCGACGAAACAGCGGTCGTCGCAAAAAAAAACTGCGCGACG